AAAATATAATATCCCAGTTTTCTATAATCCCAAAAACCTCAACTACTGGAGTAAGGATTTCACTATTCAATAAAAAACTACAGGGAAAACTGGAAATCAATCTGGCAGAAGTTAGGTTTAAACCAACATTTCAACCCATATTTAAAAATAAACTCCAACTGGATACATGATTTAGATGTCATATCCTAAACAAATCAGAGGAGAAAGGAAGAAATTGCCTATTGGATCTAGGTTAGAGGAAGAGTTCATGACCAAACAAGGGATCTCAGGAGACAAAATGGACAATTTTGAATACATAAAATTAAAAAGACTTTGTACAAATAATAATGATAAAACTAAAAATAGAAAGAAAAACGGGCAGCTAGGTGGCGCAGTGGGTAGAGCTCCAGCCTTGGAGTCAGGAGGACCTGAGTTCACATCTGGCCTCAGATACTTAATGCTTACTAGCTGTGTGACCCTGGGCAAGTCACTTAACCCCAATTTCCTCACCAAAAAGCAAAAAAAAAAACTTAAAAAAAATAGAAAGAAAACAGGCATTTTTTTGGGGGGGAAAAAAATCTTTACAGCAAGTTTCTCTGATAAGGGCTCATTTCCAAAATATACAAAGATGAAATTTATAAGAATAAGTGTCATTCCCTAATTGCTAAATGATTAAAGTATAAGAACAGGAAGTTTTAAAAGGAAGGAATCCAAGCTGTCACAAGTCATATGAAAAAATGTTCTACATCACTAATAATTAAAGAAATGCAAATTAAGCAACTCTTTTCCACTTCACACCCATCAGATTGGCAAAGATGAGAAAAAATGGAAAATGACAATCTGGATGATAAAAAGCAAAAAAAAGCAGTAATATGAAAAGAAAGAAACCTTTCACCTGTTCATGTATTTTTAAGTAGGATAGGAAACCTGTGGGTAACTCTTCTAGTTGGTGAATACAGCTCACTGCAGTGCAGTCCCTGTTTGTAGACACTGGCTCAGTTCAGCCTATGATTGGTTAGTTTGAATCATGGAAAAACAAAAAACAAAAACAAAAACAAACCATCTCTTTGGTCAAACCCTTTGGACCAATGATTGAGATCTCCCCACCTATTTTTAAGGCACTCAACAGTTTCCAGTGAAGTGTGAGAACTGGCTAGGCTATGTGGTATATGGTTATATGGCAGTCCTGCTTTCAGAGGCCTTAGAAATGGGAAGCAGAATTCCCTGGACTCTATTAGCAAAAATGACTCAAATGTTTAAGCTGGCTGAGAATTTGTTCAGTGGCATTTGGCGCTTGATGACCCTGTGGACCATACTGTCCATGGGTTTTCTTGGCAATGATACTGGAGTGGTTTGTCATTTCCTTCTCCAGTTCATTTTACAGATGAGATAGCCGAGGCAAACAGGGTGAAGTGATTCACAGGTCTTCCTGGCACTCTATCCACTGGGCCATCTAGTGACCCTTATCATTTTACACACACACACATGCACACACACACACGTATGTATATATGTATGTGTGTGTGTGCATGTGTGTGTGTGTTTCTTGCAATGTGGTTTTGGAAAAGCATTGTTAAAAAAAAAAGTGCTGTTGATTTGTGGAATGATACCTTAAGGGTTATGCATTTGTATCATTAGGAGAATAGCTTCTCTTTTGATCTGAATGCTGTGATTTGATTGATTTGAGCAAGTAATAACAAGCTAGCCATTCTTTTTAATAACAATTTTTAAAAATTTATTTATTTATTTTTAGTTTCCAACATTCACTTCTGTAAGATTTTGAGTTCTAAATTTTCTCCCCCTCCCTCCCCTCTTCCCAAGATGGTGTGCAATCTGATATAGGCTCTGTATATACATTCATGTTAAACATATTTCCACATTAGTTATGTTGTCAAGAAGAATTACAGCCAAGGAGAGAAACCACAAGAAAGAAGAAACAAAAAAAGAGAGAGAGCAAATAAGCTAGCAATGCTTTAACACTTTAGGGTTTACAAAGGGCTTTATGCATGTAAACTGTTATATATACAAACTTTATATACGTAAACATTCGTAAACTTAATTCATTTGACCCCAACAACAACCCTGTAAAATAGGTGCTATTGTTGCCTCCATTTTACAGATAAGGAAACTGAGGCTGAGAGGTTAATTGACTTGTCCAGGGTCACACAGCCATTAGGTGTGCATTTGAATTGAAATTGCATTTGAATTCAAGTTTTCCTGACTTCAAGTCCCTTACACTATGGAATGTGTCACTTACCGCCTCTGGAAGACAGGGATGGAATTACCTTCTTAAAGACTATCTTAGGTATTCAAATAGGTATACTTTGGTTTGTCAAAAAGATGTTTGGGAAAAGTAGCAGATGCCTTAAGAAGTCTCACTGTTTATGAGAAGTTCCGTAGGAACTTGCCAACCTCTTTGAAGCTTTGGCCTTGGAAAAGTCAAAAACATTAGTTTTATGAAAAAAAGAAACTGTAGGAATGGTGTCTAAGGAAATTTTAACAAGAGATGAGAATCATCGGAAAATTGGTTTAAAGAGGAGCTAAATTCAAAGGCTTTGAATGTTTTAGTAATTGTCTGTAAATTCTCAAAGTGACTTGAAGATTTCTTATGCATACCAGCTACTGATTCAATAGTTGTCAAGAAATGTCTAATAGTATTTTTCCTGTTTGAGGCATTTATCTGATGATATTAAGCAGAAGGATCCATTTTATAGGTCATGGCATTTCTGCATCTTTTTTTAAAAGGGTTCTTCCTCTAACCTTCAAATATTGTCCATTATCCTCTACGAGGCTTGGGTAAGGTAGAAAGAACAAATAGTATTTGAAAATCGAAACTTTCAAAACTTTCAGATGAATTGCAGATACTCCGATGTTCTTCCTATAGGCCTGATGAGTATTATTAAGTTCAATATCAAGGCTTGCACTGGTCTTCACTAAGTGAAATAATTACAGAAAAGGCAATGTGATTGGGTTTTGTCAGATCCTACTAAATAAGCTAAGTCTCATCACTTAAGCTGGAGCAGAATCTCCTAGGGAACCACAGCAAAGGGGATTGTGTAATCTGGAAACTGCCAAGTGGATTGACTAGAAGAGACACCTCTGCAAATCTGTCCTTGAAATGAGGTGGAGGGCCCATCTTGGGTAACAAATGACACAGAAGTTAAAACCTCTAAGGCGCTGATTCATGGATAAATGTAAGCTGGCTGTGCCAGACAGTTTGGGGACAGTAGCCTAGGACAGATCCCTCAGACTCAGAATTACCAGGGAAAAATGTTTCCCAGAAGCAGACGACTTCATGCAACAGACATCTCAACCCAAGAAGATGGAACAAGATCCCTGCTATCTAAACTGTCATTAACATGCATTTATTGTTTGTTCCTTTTTGCCCTGTTTTAAAATTTTGTCCTCATTTGTTTTCTTTGTTAGTCATGTTTATTGTTCATTGTTTCTTAGTGTGTCCTGACTCTTTTGGAAGGCAGCTAGGAGTCAAGAAGAGTCCAGTTCAAATTCAGCCTCAGACACTTACTAGAGCTGTGTAACCCTGCCAGGTCACAACCTCTGCCTGCCTCAGTTTCCTCATCTATAAAGTGGGGATAATCATAGCACCTACCTCTAAGGGTTGATGTGAAGATCAAATGAGATATTGTAAAATGCTTTGTAAACCTGAAAGCACTATATAAATCCCAGCTATTACTACTACGATAATGAGTACTACTACTACTACTACTGTTGCCTAGGAGGCAGATTTAAGACAAAACTGGACATTTAAACCCAGGTCCTTCTTGTTTGACTTCCTTGGGAAATTACTGGTAATAATTCTTTGGTCTGTGTCTGGGAGTACTTGAGTGCTACAAAGATGCTATTCTTGAGATCCAGGTCCCTACCTCTAAATGTTGAAAAATTTACTTTTGACAATAGTTACTGCTATTCAAATCCATAGCTCCAGAAAGGTTGATGTTTAAATTAATTAATTAATTTTTAGTTTTCAATATTCACTTTCATAAGATTTTGAGTTCCAAAGGTTTTCCTCCTCCTCCCTCTCCCTCTCCCCAAGACGGCATGCAATCTGATACAGGTTATACGTGTACGATCATATTAAACATATTTCCACATCAGTCATGTTATGAAAGAAGAATCAGAACAAAAGGGAAAAACCATGAGAAAAAAAATACGGCTAACCAAATTAGTCATGGTTTTTTTTCCTTTTCATTTTGGGAGATAACGCTTAATTGAAAAAAAGGTTTTTTTAAAAAGTTAATTGAAAAAAACCTTAAAAATTCTTGGTTTTAAAAATTGAAATAAAAGTTTAAAATGTTTGTTAATTTAGACATAAGTTTAAAAAATAAAGTTCAAAATGCTTGTTTAAAAATCCTTGTTAGTTGAAAAAGTTTGAGAATGCTTTTAAAATGAAATAAAATAAGTTTAAAATAATTTAAAAAATAAGTTAAAAATGCTGAATTTTAAAAATAAATGCTCATTAATTGAAATACATTAAAAAGTTATAAAGTATAAAGAAGTATAAGTAAAAAGAAAGTTAAAATTAAATCTTGTTAATTGAAAAAAGTTCAAAAGATTTTAGCTGGAAAAATAGAAGTATAAAAAATGCTTAAGTGAAAAAAATTTAAAAATTGATGCTCCATAAATAAAAAACACTTTTAAAAAATCTTTTAGTTGAAACAAATAAAAGTTGAAAGTGCTTGTTAACTGAAAAAATAAAAGTTAATAAAAAAAAGTTTTAAAAAAATTGCTGTAGATTGATTGGTCCGTGAGCATTCAATGGGACTTTTAAACTTTGTTTCTCCAGCTAAGCATGCCTTTTCTTCTTCCCTTTGCGCCTGCGCCCAGTCTCACAAGTCCCGCCCCCTCCACAACGCGCCCCTCCCTCACGCCTATGGACTTCCGCCAAGCTACAGTGCCAAAATCCACCGGCGCCGTAGCAAGCGAGCCTGGAATTGCCTGCTTGGGGGCGGGGAAGCGACGAACCACGTGCTGGCCCAGCAGGTCGGAGGGTAAAGGTTGGAGAAGATTTCCGGAAGAGGGTCTGCGCATGCGCTCCGGTGCCGGTGCAGCTTTATTCCGTTCATCCGGGAGCCGAGACCATGGCGGAGATCATTGAGCAGCATATAGAGGACCGACTCCCGGAGCTGCTACAGCTGGAGCGGGTCGGGCTTTTCACGCGCAAGGAGATTAAGTGAGCTCGCCGCGGGTTTGGGGGGAGGTGTCCCGAGGGAGCGGCGGATGCGGGAGGCGGACCACGTGCAGCGGCCGACGTCACGTTTGCTCCTCGCGGCGGGAGATGGCGTGGGCGGCGTCCTTGCCCCGTGGAAGCTCCGCGCGCGGGCACTACTTGGCTTGGTCAGTGGGCGTCTCAGGCATCCTGTTCACCTGCCCCCAGGTGTTCCGCGCCGCGTCTCCTGCTGGTGGAGGACGTGGCTTGTCGGGTCCCTGGTGTGACGGCGCCCCCTGGTGGCCGGGAGGCCAGTCTTGAAGCCGGCAGGAAGGCTCAGTGTCTGGAATGGGTACTTAGTCAGTGATCCTCCTGGCTCCACCTACAGGTGAAAGGGCGCGTTGCTTACCCCGCCAGGAGGGAGGGATGGAGATGCTCATGGTACCTCGAGGATGCTGCGAGTCGTCATCATCTTCATCCTCAAAATCACCAAGCGCTTACTAAGCTCCAGTTGTATTTCAGTCATTGTGCTAAGCACTGGGAATAGATATAAAGAAAGATTTTCAGGGACCTTACAATCTCGTGGGACAGTATGCAAGCAACCATGTGCAAATGAGATATAGAAAAGATACAGAAAACATTTATTAAGCGCCTGCTGTGTGCCAGGCCTTGTGCTAAGCAGAGGTAATAGATACAAAAAAAGATAGCAGTCTCTGCTGTTCAGGGTGCTTAAAATCTAATGGGGGAGACAGTATGCAGACAACTATCTACAAATTGCATATAGAAAGGATTTATAAAGCATTTTATTAAATGTCTACTATGTGCCAGGCACTGTGCTAAGGATTGGTTATAGATACAAAGAGGCATAAACAACCCCTGTCCTCAAGGAGCTTACATTCTAATGTAGGAGACAACACGTAGACAATTACTATGATGTACATGGGACACAGTCTTGGAGGGAAGATATTAGCTAAGTGGGACAGAGTACCAGAAAACCCCTCCTGAAGAGGGTGGGATTTGAGCTGCGACTTGAAGGAAAACAGGGTAGCTTAGGTGGTGGTCAGTCAGTAAACAAGAATTTATTTAACACCTACTGTGTGTCAGTCCCTGAGTTAAGCATTGCAGGTCAGGAGGTGGGAGAGCATTTCAGGCATGGGGAACAGCCAGTAAGAGACATGGAGCTGGGCTATGGGAGTGTTGTGTGAGGACCACAAGAAGGCCAGAATTGCTGCATTGTACCGTAAGTGGAAGACAGTTGAGAAAGAAGACTGGAAAGATAGGAAGGTGCCATGTTGTGCAGGGCTTTAAAAGCTCAACAGGATTTTGTATTTAATCCCGGAGATAGTAGGGGGCCAGTGCAGTTTATTGAGTAAGGAGGTAACGTGTGGTTAGATCTGAGTTTTAGGAAGATACTGGCAGTGAATGGAAGGTGGGCTAAAGGGAGGAGGAACCCAGGTGCACAAAGCCTGATGTTCATTTTTTGCCTTGTGTTGCCTGAGAGGCTTCGAATGGTTTAACTGTTGCTGTATTGTGATTTTAAAACATTTTGAAATGTGGCTTGGGTTTAAAAAAGCATAACTGCTTATGTAGTCTCTGCCTTTTTCAAAGGGTTTATTTTAAGCTGTTTTATTTTCCCAGGTCTGTCATTAAGAAGGCCTCAGCACTAGAATACAAAGTACAAAGAAGAGCTCTTTTTAAGGAAGACTTTATCAATTATATCCAAGTGAGTGAATTGTTTATTCTCTGCAATTTTATTCCTTTTTCAATTAACTAATGAATGGGTGAACTTGGCCTTGTTGCCAACCTTTGTAGAATGGATTTTAAAATACCTAACTTGGAACATTTGGAAAAGGAAACATTGATAGCAGATAGCCAGCATATACTTTCATTGAGAATAAGTCATGTCCACCTAAAATTATTTACTTGTTTGATGGGGCTTCAAGAGAGGTAGATCTGGGGAATAAAGATTTAGTATCTCTTATTTTCAGTAAGGCATTTAATAAAATCCAATCCTAGGCTCCACATTTTAAAACGGCACTAGCCATGTGAAACAAATCCAGAGGAATGAAAGAATTAAAGATCTAGAAACTGTCATATGAAATACTGTTTGAGGGTTCAGGAGCCTTGGAAAGAAGAACTTGAGAGGGACACACTGTGGGCTGCAGGAATGAATAAACCCTGGCTCTGGTGTCAGCACATGGTTTCAGATCCTGCCTTAGACACTTACTAGGTCTATGGCCTTACAAAGCACTTTGAGTTCCCTAGGCTTCAGTTTCTTTGTGGCAGACCTAGGATCAGCAGGTGGAGGTGACCTGGAGGCAGGTTCTGGATCTTCATGAATTTTCTCCCCCATGAGCTCTCTTTTGGTGAAATGGGCTTCTTGGGGAGGGGGCTTAGGCCTCTAGACACAATCAGAAGCCAGGGGGTTTGGAATGGGTTGGGAAGGCCGAGCTACCTCCCTTTGAGATACCTTTTGATTCTTAGTCATGGTTTTAGGCAGAACCAGCTTCCTTGACATTAGAAGTGCTGACTAAATGGGCCAGTTGTAGAGGGAACCCGCTGATTCTGTTTGATTCAATTCTCTAGACATATATTTAGCACCAGGTGTAGTCTGCTGAATTCCTGGTCTTGCTGAGAATTATTATTGCTGTAATTGCACACCTTGACAGTCAGTCATCCTTGATTAGCATATGCCATGATTTTTGTAGCTGCTAGACCTTGTCCACAGCTTTTAGATGTCCAGCTAGCTCCTTTTTTTTTGTTTTTTGTTTTTTAATTTTGAAAGTTCAAAATTCTTCTGTTCCTCTTCTCTCTGTGTATATTCTGACATGCCATGTTATTTCTTCCCTGTAGTATGAAATCAATCTTCTGGAACTGATCAAGAAGAGAAGAGCAGTAAGTAAATGAATTTCCAGGATTGGGGAAGGAAACAACCACAAAATGTAACATGCTCTCAGGCAGCTTGTCCCCGGTCAGCCAAACCTTGGGAGGGGCCGGCTCCTGGCTATGCTGCTCTCTGTGAGCCTTGTGTGGGCACCTGGTAATGTTGGGTTTGGTGCTTTTGGATTGTAAACACTCTAGGAGTTAATGCTAATGATTTTACTCCTCCCCTGCCATGGGTGTGTTAAATTATTCCTCTTGACCTTTAAGTGTTTGCAGTGTTGAATCACAGCAGATGTGAGTGAGATGGGTGGTTCCTTTGGCCTCTGGATAGCCAAGAACCGGTGGGGCATCCAGCTAGCTATGCATAGAGGGGGCTTCGTTTACAGAAAGGGAACCTATCGCGTTTGGTTCAGTTTACTTCACATTCGTTGAGCAGCAAACATGGTCACTTCAAATCTAGAGTTGCTTCTGGTAGGGCAGGGCTGCGCTGCCAGGTGGAATGAGCTGTTTCTGGGGCCAGATGTTGGAAAGTTTTTTAAACCCACCAATGTCCATTTTTAATTCTGTCCACGAAGTTCAACAGATATTAAGTGCCTACTGTGTACAAGGCTCTGTGCTAGGGGCTGGGGACATAGAGTCGCAAAGGAAACAAGTCCTGCCTGCAAGGAGCTTACTAGGGGGGTGGGGAAGGGGAAAGGGAGAGCATATATGCGGAAGATGCTGAGAAAGAAGTCCATGGCTTTGAGGGTCCATGCTACCCAAAAGGTTGAGAACTGCAGAGCCAGAGGCTGTAGGGGTGAAGATTTCAATCAGGGCAGTGACGTGGTTGGACCTGTGCCTGATCAGAGAAAGCTATTAATCCCAGTAGTGGAAGCAGGGGTGAGGAGGAAGGGTGGTGTGGGCTGCGAGAGATGAGGGAGCAGTAGATCCCCCTGCAGAGCTGGCGTTTGGGCTGACGGTGGGGCCGTGGGCTCCACCTGGAGGTTGAGGCTTTGCCTTTTGGTCTGCAGCGAACCAGATACGTATTTAAGAAGGAGGAGATCGAGTTTTCGATTGTGCACAGAATACAGAACCTCTTCCGTCGAGCCACGGCCAAGTGGAAGGTCAGCAGGTTTGGGGCTTTGTGGATGGTGGGAGGCGGCGCTGCTTGTAAAGCGACGGACTGAGTTTTAAAAACCCACCCGAGTGTCAGGATTTGTGTGCTGGCCGCCTGGTGGTATTCTTCACATTAGCCCCTCTGGGGTGATTCCTTTTCATATCTAGGCACATTTTTGGTGTTTTCTGAAAGTAGACTGGCTGCATTTTATTCTCTTCTTATTTATCATCTGCTGGGTTGGGGGATGGGGAGGGAAGAGGGAAGAGGAATGGGCAAGGGGGAAGACCCACCCCTGACTTCTCCCTTGCAGATTTCTAAAAGTGGGACAGTGAGTGACTTTGGCGTGTCAGCTGTTGTGTGGGATACCACATAGCCAGTGAGGGGGGATGGCTGGCAGGGTCAGTGGTCTGTCTGGTAGTCAGGAGAGCTGAATTTGAGTCTCCTTTGCCATGACCTCTGTGTGACTTTGGCAGACTTCCTTCCGTGCCCTAGACCTAGGTTCCCTCCTTTGTGAAAGGAGGGGTTGGATGCCTGATCTCTCAACCCTTTCCAGTTCTGAAAGTTTGGTGAAACCACCCGAGGCCTTCCGGTGGAATTGCTTGGGCTGTGCTTCTGCCGTTTACCCCCTGTGTGACCCCTCCCTGGGCCTCAGCTCCCTGTTCTGTAAGAGGAGGGGTTGGGTTATTTGGCCTCTGAGGCCCCTTCCAGCCTAAGTCTTTGTAAAATCTGTTCAAAATCAGTTCTGAGTAGGAGGCAGTTTCGCCTTGGAGCTGATCCCTTTACATAGAGGGGAAGGGATTTCCCCAGGGACTTGCCCCAGTTAGTTAGGGGCAGGGCACAGGTAGGATTGGAATCCATGTCCTCTGACCCCAGATTTAGAGCTTTCTCTACTGTACTGTGTTACCTTCTACTCAGGAAAATAAAAAGAAAAGTGAGTGTCATGCTCATGTTTGAGGGATTTGTAGGTAATGAGTGGTCATTACCTCCCCCCCCCAACGAAATGATGCAAAAGAAGGAAACATGCCATCTTTCTGTCTGAGGATTGGCTTTTTGATTAGGGCAAGGGGAGGGATATATTTGGAAATGAAGGGGATATAAAAACAAAAGATTAAGAGGTTTAAAATTTATTTACTGCGACTATATGAAATACAGATAAAGAATGTGGTTTCTATTACGTATTTCCCATAGGAAGATGTTCAGCTCTGGCTTTCTCACATAGCCTTTTGTAAGAAATGGGTGAGTATGAGGGATTTACTTTTCCCTCCCTCCCTCTCCTTTATTTCCTTACCTTTCATTCCTTTTGGACAGTGTCTCCTTACCCCTTACCCCCAAGCCATATATATGATTGCAGAGCCCCATGATTTTCACTGAAGGTTGGGAAGAAATTACTGTCACTTATTTCAAGAAACAAGAAGTGCATCTTGTGAGCAGAGCTCCCTGTGCTGGGCAGGATACACAACCGGCATCAGATGCAGATTCTGCTCTTAGAACATGGAGGGATGTGGGCCAAACAGCTCTCTGTGGGAGACAGTATTTGTTGAGGTTTCATGGTCCACCTTGATATGGTACTCTAGAGTTGATAGAGTACTTTTCCTCCCTCTGGCTTTGTGAAGTGGGTAGTAGGAAGTATAATTATCCCATTTTACAGATGAGAAAGCTTCCATGAGGAGAGAAGAGAGTAAGTGGCTTGTCCAACCTCAACCAAACCAGCTGGTTTGTTCTACCTCATATAGCAACCCCCCCCTCCCCCAAATAAAAGGTGGGCACAGAATTTGGGAATAGATTCAAAGAAGAGAAAAGGACCTATCAGAGGACCTATCTCTTCTATCTTAAATTCAAGCCTTAGTTCTATCTAGTGGATGAATTTCCAAGTGAGTCATAAAAATTTATTTTTTTTTGGTATAAATCAGAATTTTATCTTGGAGTTTGTGAGATTAGGTTTTAAAAATGTTTTGATGGCTATATTTTAATATCATTGGTTCCCTTTCTAATTCTATGCATTTTATTTTATGCATTTAAAACATGACTGAGAAAGAGATCCATAGGCTACTCTACACTGTTGCCAAAAAATCCACGTGCAGGAAAGGTTAAGAATATATGCGATAAATGAACGTCAGGAAATTGGAATGTAGCTTTGATTTGCTTTAGGATGCTTGGACCGTGGGAGACAATATAATTTCACCTCATACACCTGCTTTCTTTGGAACATGTTGTTTATCAAGATAGTTTTCCTCTCAGCCTCACTTTCCCCATCTGTAAAATGGAGGTAATAATGGCACTTACCTTTAGGGTTGTTTGGAGGAGGACATGAAATAACACAGGTTGTCCCAAACATCTTGGTGCAGTTTTAAAGTTCTGATAGTTTAAAATGGTGGTAAGACTTTGGGGATCCCCTGTATGTGTAAAGTGCTTTGCACACTTGGGCTGTGTAAATGTCCATTATTATTTATGGCTTTGTTTTGTCGTTGGAGTTGGTGTGTTTAGATACTCCTTAGTTATAGTTTCATTGTGACTGCTGTGGGATCCTGGCCCCTAGGAGTTTGGCAGAAGAGAATTAGGCTGAGGCCTCATTGTGAGTGTCTCCTGTGTCCTGGGGCCTTAGTAAGTGAAGGGCTCCTCCGGCCTAGACTGAAGAGTGATAATTCTTTGCACTTAAAGCAGAATTTTTTTCTTATCTCTTACAGAATAACAAAACCCAAATTAGTAAAATATTCTCTTCCTTGTTGGCCATTCATCCAAACAAACCAGGTATGGTAAATTGGGGTTCTTTTTACATGCTGGTTTATAGAGGCTTAGCTATTTTAAGAATACATTTAGGGGGAGGCTGGGGGGCCTGATGGAGTTCTGTGACTCAACTTGGAAAGGGTGGGAAGGAGGCCTGGCCTGCCTCAGTTGCCTCCAAGGACCTTACTTTAACAATGGTAGACAAATGTAAGGTGGCCAGATTTTGGAGGGATCCCTATTGGACTTCTTGAGACAGTCCAATAGGGTTTAAGGAGCAGGGAAAATGACTGACCTAGATTTTAAAGAATAGCGTTTTGTTTTAGGCAGAGAGTTTGTTTTTCAACTTAATGGCTGGCTTAATTAGTATTGAACTCTTAGCAGAGTTCAATAAGCAATGAAAGGATTTAAATCGAGTTCTTGCTGGGTTTGGGTTATGCTGTTGATTATCAGCAAGGGAAGCTGGTTTGCTTTTTTCTCCCTCTCTGGACAGCCTTGTGGATCATGGCGGCCAAATGGGAGATGGAGGATTGCCTGTCTTCAGAAAGCGCCAGGCATCTCTTTCTGCGGGCGCTGCGTTTCCACCCAGAGTCTCCCAAACTTTATCAAGAGGTGTGTATGCCTCAGCTGGGGATCAGGCAATGGCAGAGTCCCTTCCATTTTAATATTGCCTGTTAATTAGGTGGGGTGTATTATTCTGGATATAGCCACACCCTGAAAATGGAGCCTTTTCTTAAAAAACAACAACAACAAAAAAACCAACCCTGAGGTGTAGCAGGGTACCACATAGGATTACAAAGGAGGCCAATTGATTAAACTATTTAAAAAAAACAAAAACCAAGTTTCTGGACCCTAGGTTAACGAACTCTGCTTTATATTGGAGTCTAGTAAGTAAAAAAAAAAAAAGATCTCAGGAGAGCTTGAATCAGGTCTGAATTGGGGACTGATGAGCTGGTGCTGACCACAGGGCGGGGCAGAGATGTGAGCAGTTCTGCTGTACAGCTTGGAGGGTCTGGGAGCTCAGGCCTACCTCTCCCTGGCAGGAGAGTGTGGTGACCAGTCACCTTCATCTCCTCCTTCCCCCTCTCTGCTCTTTCCCTCCTTCCTTCTTGAGCTGCTCTCTCTTTTCCTTTTTCTTACCTCTTCTTGGAACCACACCCTACTTTGCTTGTGATTTCTTCTTTCAGGGTCCCCAGGAAGTGGACAGCCAGGCGCTCGCTTGATAAATGAATGCTAGGGTTCGTTGGGGAATTTCTCCCTGTGCTGGAGCACTAGGCCGACAAAACAGGAATTCAGGCTGTCCTGGAGGCTCGGTGTGTGCTCCAGCCAGCGTGGCTCCGTTCAGCAATGGTTTTTCCAACCACTTGACCTCAAAGGGAAGGCATTTCTGGTCTCTGTCTTAAAGGCCTCATAGCAGTCACAGCTGTATTGTAGTTAGTATGCCATTTAATTATACTGACATCAGAACCACCTTTTCCTGAGGTCCTCGAACATAATTTGGTAATTCTTCTGCTGTTGTTATTATTGTTAACACATGTTTCAATTATGAACTTAACTCTGAACGAAACCAAGTAGCCAAGTAGGCCCATTAAAATATGGAATAAGTGCTGTACAAAACCTTTATTTAGCATTTAACAAAGACCTGATGATTAACAAGCAAAGGAAAAAACCTGAGCTTTTGTTCTTTGTCCTCTCCTGGGCCTGTCTGAGGGTCCACATCTGACTTTGTTTGTGTTGGGCTTTTAAAACATAGTATTTCTGTAGGTAATTGGCAGGCATGTTAAGCTATAGTATTGTCTTTGAAAGCAAAGCACAGGAGAAATGCTAACAGTTTATTTTATGGTAGAAATAAAGTACAGATTTAACCCTATGATTATCGTGTAAGCAATGATAACATCATGGCTGACTAAAGGTTGCAATGTTCTTTGTGCGCCTCATTTTATCTGATCCTCACAAGCACCCTGTGAGGGAGATTTTTTGGTTGTTATCACCTCCGTTTTCAGATGATCAAGTCTAAGACGTAAGTGATGGAGAGGTCCTTGCTGCCTCCGGGATTGATTCTGTTTACCCATTTGCCACCTTGGCCATCATGGGGTGCTGTTTTTGCCCAGTTTTCAGGGGGAAGGGGAACAGTAGTTTTTTCCCCCCAAAGTTATTTTTTGCCCCATCTTTAGTATTTTAGGATGGAGCTAATGCATGCTGAGAAGCAGAGGAAAGAGAAGCAGGAATTTGAACAAGCAAAAATGGATTTGGTAAGATCCTTAACCCGTGCAGCTGGTGAAGGTTGGGGCCTTTGTTCCTATTTGAGAGTCAGAAGCGTCCCTGGGGATGTGGTGGGGGGTGGGGGTGGAAGTCTCCTGTCCTGCTGGTACTGCAAAGCTGAGATTGTTAGTAGACTTAGAAAGTTCCTGACACAGAAGAGAGCCACCAGCACAACTGGTTTTTTGTTGTTGTTGTTGTTTTTTTGTTTTTGGCTAGGCAATGGGGTTAAGTGACTTGCCGAGGGTCACACAGCTAGTAAGTGTTATGTGTCTGAGGCCAGATTTGACCTCAGGTCCTCCTGAATCCAGGGCCGGTGCTGTATCCACTGCACCACCTAGTTGCCCCCACAACTGGTTTTTAACAACGGCTGTGATAAGAAAACACTTCAGCAGCCCAGCAGAAATCACTGAAGTTTTCTGAAAAGGGGACCAAAGATTCTGGTACAGGGGTGCGGGGGAGACTATATTGAGAGGTGATTGAAAAATATAAGGTAAAGTTTATCAAGGACTTTTTAGAAAAGCCCAAACAAAAAATAAAATCACTCAGGAAAGACTGACTAAAGTGTGATTTCCTGAAACCTGTTTTAATTTCTTTTTATTTTAAAGAGTTGAAGGGATGAGATGAGGTGGATTAAAATGCACTCTGTCCAGCTTTCACTGTTTCTCCTGCCCCCATGATAAACAGATCAGAGACAGAAACCATTTTCAGTATGAGTTTTAGGGACCAGCCTTCTTGGGTTACAACTGAGGAAACTGAGGCCCAAGAAGTTTGGATCTCCCTAGGTTTCCCTGGCTAGTTAGAAGCCAGGCCTCCGACTTACTGTTGAAGTTTCTGCTGCTGTGCTTTGCTGCTCACGCATTTGGGTTTCTGACACTCTTTAGGATGAACTCGATTTTCCAGAAGAAATCCTAAATGGTGGCTTGGCACGGATTGTTTATAAAGAAGCTGTGAGTAAGATCAAAGGTACGCCTCCTACTCTAGTGAGGAGCAGGGACCCCTTGATTGTTATGACATACAGGACAAGCGGAAGTGGCCCAGGAGCCAGTGTGGAGGCTCATGCTCAGAGTTCGGGTCTCTCCGGAGAGAGAGAAAACGAGCCCTGTCGGGCTCAGAAAATGCTTAACTCCATTGACACCCACTTAAACATTCACCTGGTATTTAGCGAGTGCCTAGTGCTGGACTGTGCCGGGCCACATGGGGTGGGATGCCGTCGAAGGGCTGAAGACCCAGACAAGCTGAAAGTCAACAGAACGTCCAAAGCCCCGAAGGGAAAGGACGTTCCTTGCTCTGCAGACGTGTTGACGTTGATCCCTTTTCTGCTGTCTTTATTTTAGGTGCTGAATTTCATCTCTCACTACTCTCAATTGCAAAGTTATTCACTTTTGCTCGAGATCTTCAGCAGGAGATGTATGACCAGTAAGTGGAGGGAGGAGGTGGAGATGTGTTGTGGGTGGCTGTTTCTGGGGCGTGTAGCTTTAGAGGAAGCAAGCATCATCATTATCATCGTCACCACTGGCATTTACAGAGAACTTTGTGGTTCACAGTGCGGCGCTTCCTTTCATTTCATACTTTGTTTCATTTCATCCTCACCCTAATCCTGGGAGGTGGGGGCTCTGATCATCTCCATTTTACAGATGACACTGAGGCACACAGAGGTTAAGTGGTTTGCCCAGGGTCATGAAGCCAGTTAGTGTCTGAGGCAGGATTCACACTCAGGTCTTCCTGACACCGAGTCCTGCACTGTAGCCACTGGGCCAGTAAAAGCAGTGACCACAACAGTGTAAACGGAGACGGCAGCAAACCGATGGGAAGTGAGTGCTGTGAAAGTGTAGTGGCCATGCTGGCTCCAGAGTGGAGACGTGGGAGGAAGCTGACCTCCTGTCCAGCCTTAGCCCTCTGGTGCGACCTCCGTCAAAGCTTAGCTTGGATGCGCTCGTCCTCTGTGACTATCCTAAAGAATGTCCCCGAGTTGGGAGGCGAGGGAGCCTAGTCGGGGAACTGGCCGGGATATAAAAACAAGATGCCAAGCATATAGATGAGGAGGAGGAGGAGTGGCGGCTCCTTCCTTGGAAGTTGACTGTGTTGGGAGGGTTTAGGTTCCTGGTGAGAGCCCTGAGTGGCGTGGTGAGAGGAGGGTGAGGGTGGCCTGGGTGGGAGGGGCTGTCCAGCCAGGGCGGAGCGGTGCCGACGAAGCTCATCGCTCCTCCTGCCGTAGAGGCTGTGAATGGTCCCCTCCACTGAGACCGATCCAGTGATGGCAGCACCAGAGCATCGCCTGTTTAAGTAGCAGGTGCTCAATAAATGTCCCTAGCATCGTAGATTCAAAGCCATAAGGGAGTTGAGACGTCAGATCCAACTCTGAGGAAATTGTACGAGATGTTAGTTTTACAGATGAGGGAACTGAGGCACAGAAGTTATGCTGCTTGCCCTGAATTACATAGCTAGTAAGGGCCAGAGCTGGGATTTGAACCCAGGTCTTCTGACTCCAGTACATACTGGATTAAGCACTGGACTTGGAATCAGGAACTAGCTGTGAGACCCAGGACAAGTTGATGAACCTCTGTTTGCCTCAATTTCCTCAACTGTAAAATGGGGATCATAACAGCATCTACCTCTTGGGGGGGTTGTGAAGATCAAATGAGATAATGTTTGTAAGGCCCTCAGCACAGTGCCTGGCACATAGTAGGTGCTACATAAATGCTCATTCCCTTCCTCTGCCCAGGGCCATTGACATAGTTCATTCTAGAACCCTGAATTGGTGCTGTGGCTTGAATGCTCTTTCCAGGGGACCTTCGGTTTCTGCCTGTGGCCATGGTTCTGAGGTTGTTCCTAAGGTCCGCTGGGGTGCTGACCAGCAGTCAGGTCAGCCGAGCTCCTTTTCCCTGGCTTCCCCTAGTGCAGGGCAGGTGGGAAGAATCTCTTTGTTCCAGCCTGCAGGTTCTGCATGCCGGGGATCCCCTCACCTGGGATTTTGTGGCGCGTCGAGAGCTGGAGCTGGAGTCCCAGCTGCCTGGAGAACTCGCGTCCAAACAAAGGAAAGCCGAGGAGGTGGCCCGCAGGGAGGAGCGCTGCTGTGCCGTCTACGAGGAGGCCGTGAGCTCTCTGGCCACAGGTTTGTCTTTCTGGCTGCAGTCAAGAAATAAATCCTGCGGTCTGTGCCTGAAATGGGTTTGACTTCCCACAGCGGGTCATACCAACCCTGTTCTCCACCTGCCACTCGCTCACTGGCTGGGTCATCCTGGGCAAGTCACTTCCCCCCAGTGGGCCTTAGTTTCCCCATCTGTAAAATGAGTGTGCCTGACTGGACGATGTTGAAACTGTGGCTCCAAATCTGCCATGCCAAGGCTGTGAGGTTTTAAACATTTTCTCTTGTTACTCCATCTTCCTCCTTGATGAGCATGGTGCACGGCATATCCCAGCAAACTTGCCTTCTGCTGTCGTGTGGCTCCCAAGCTAAGGACAGGTGTTACATATGGAATCACCCACCCTTGGTCTAGACACCTGTGATACTTCATTTTCATGGGAACTCCCCGTGCGGCATCTCCTTTCATGGCTTCAGCCCAGCCACTGAGGTTTGGTGACTTGCCCAGGGTCTCTCTGCCAGTGGGCATCTGTGAAGGACCTGACCCCAGGTCTCGCTGGTCACTATCCACTAACCTCTCCTAGAATGTTGGCAACATAGTCAGGGGTAAGATCTTATATAAAACACAACATTTAACAAAGAAGGAACCGAGTGAATTAACAAGGAGCACACAGGCTGCGTGGGTTCTGGCCTACTTCCTCCCCTCTCTTCCTTTTAGTCTTCCCTCCCCTCTCCCTTTCCCTTCCTTCTCTTCGCTCTCCTCTTCTCACCTCACCCCTTCCCCTTCCCCCCAGGCTGTCCTAAATGACTCTGATGTAGCTGAGGAAATTTTGCTCATAGAGTAATGTCAGTAGTAATGATGGTAGCCTTGTTTGGGAAACGATTGTGGTAAAATTCTCCTTTTTACCATAGGCGTTTTTTTTTTTTTGCTTTGCTTTTTGGTGAGGCAATCGGAAATAAGTGACTTGCCCAGGGTCACACAGCTAGTAAGTGTCAAGTGTCTGAGGTCAGATTTGAACTCAGGTCTTCCTGACTCCAAGGTCGGAGCTCTATCTACTATGCCACCTAGCTGCCCCTATCATAGGCATTTTTTTTCTTTTTTCTTTTTTTTGGCTAGGCAATGGGGTTAAGTGACTTGCCCAGGTTCACACAGCTAGTAAATGTTATATGTCTGAGGCCGGATTTGAACTCAGGTCCTCCTGAATCCCAGGCTGGTGCTCTATCCACTACGCCACCTAGCTGCCCCATTTTTTAAAAAATACATTGGAAAAGACCTTTCATTTTTCTTTGTTTTCCTTGATAATGCTCTGTAGTACATTTTGAATAGAATTTCTTACCCTGTGGTGTTGCCCCAGCCCTACTCTGCAGTCACTGGGATGTCTTGCTTCCTATCCCATGAACCTGGGGTGAAGGGCTGCTTTGAGGTAGCAAGAGCTTCCGTTTTCCTTTACCAAAAAAATAGCGGCTATGGTTGGAATGAAGGATCTGGTCTTCCTGATTACTGGTCTGTCTTTTTCTTTTAAAACAAACAAACAAATGAATGAAGGAACAAACAAAGCACATTTCCTGTCGATAATAACCAGCAGCAAAACCAAACAAAAATAAGGGTTAAAATCTCAAACCTGAAGCCCTCAGGCCTTTAACCAGACAGAACTAAGTGAGTTAACAAGCCAGCACCGAAGATGCTTCTGACTTGTGTCCTGTTGTGGGTCAGTTAGAAGTTCTGCCCACTTAAAAAAACAACACAAAACAGTTGTAGTCATGTGCGATGTTCTTTCTGACTTTACAGAGGCCATGTGGAAGTGTTACGTCACCTTCTGCTTGGAGCGATTTAACAGGAAAACGAATAACAAGAAGCTGAGAGAGAAGGTAAGGCACAGATCATATCACTTGGTCAGGGGGCAGCCTGTGGACCCATGGGTACCCAGGGAAAACCCACCTCTGAGAACTGGCCTCCCCATTTCATAACCCTTTTCCCAGAGCCTTAAATAAGGTTTGATTTTCTGCAGATCAACATAATTTTAAAACCCTTATTGTTTGGGTCAGATCATTCATGTTAAATTCTTTTTTTTTTTTTTAGAATTCATTTAGCCTTTATTTAAAAAAAAAAAATTTTTTTTCAACCAAAAATCAATTTTCTCTCCTTCCCACCTCTTCCATTGGGGAAAAAAAAAGGAAAACCCCTTATAACCAGCATGTGTAGTCAAACAAAACATTGCAGTGTTGGCCTCGTCCAACAATATATGACTCAGTCTGCACCGTGAGCCCATCCCCTCTGTCAGGAGGTGGATAGGATGCTTCATCGTGGACCCTTGGACGTGGTGGCTGGTCATTGTGTGGGTCAGAGTTCTTAAGTCCTTCAGACTTGTTTGTCTTTACAGTGTTGTTATTCTGGTTCTGCTCACTTCACTTTGCATCAGTTCATAAGTCTTCTTGGGTTTTTCTGAAATCATTCCCTCCATTTCTTACAGGATAAAAATTCCATTATATTCATAGGCCATCATTTGTCCAACCGTTTGCCAGTTGACGGGCAGCCCCTTATTTTTGGGGTCTTTGTGTCACAGATAGAGCTGCTGTAAATAGGTATATACTTGTCTCCTTTTCTGGGGTAGAGGCCTCGTAGTGGTGTCACTGGGTCAAGGTATGCAGGTGAATTAAGAGGATTAGTGTTTGGGGTGCAGTTTCAAATTGTTTTACGTGATGCCTCTGCCACTGACTTCCCTGGGCAAGTCACGCAGCTTTTCTGAGCCTTGCCAAAGGTAGTTCTGGGGTCCCTTGCAGCTCTGGCCCTGGTTGTTCTTCTGCGATCTTGGATCCTAGGACCCTGTCATCACCTCTACCTCCTCTCCACCCAGCCCTGGGACGGTGCCTCTGGAGTCACCCCGGGCTGTCACGGGCCAACTCTGGCTTTGGCTCACCAGGCTCCAGGCTCCTACCACATATCTAAGCCTTCTTCATGCCACACAACACATGTCCTCCCCGCTGCTATCCAACTCCCTTTTGTAGGTTGCCTCTTCCCAATCGGATGTTAACGTCTTGAGGCCTAGTGAAACTGTGTTACTTTTTATTTTTATTCCCGGTGCTTAGCAAAGTGCCTGGTACATACATAGTAAGGGCTCAATGAATGTCTGTCTATCTATCCATCTCTCTGTCCATCCATCCATTTAGCTATGTTATATTCCACCTCTATTTCTGCTGCAGTTTCACCGCTGGGGAGCAGTAGCCTCCCTTCCTGAATTGTCAGGAATATTGTAAAACACTCCTATTGAAGGTCCTGGGCCTTTTCACCCTGATTTTGTGATGGATTCTGGGACCTTTGTGATTTCAGAGGCAGGAGCGGGCCATGGATGTGTTCAAGAGGGCGCATGAAGCCAGGCTGCTGTCTGAAGACCTGTACCAGCAGTGGGTAAGGAGGTGGGCTAATGCTTTTCTCTTGGGCAGTGAGTTCTACCAGAGCCCTGCGTGGCCGCTTTCTTGTGGGCTCTGGGGGTTTCTCCTTGGGGGTCGGGGGGGGGGGGGATGAGCCCTTTGAAGGCCAGCAGCTTTCATCAGCAACTCTTCACTAGTGGCATCGCAGGATGAGGACTATTTGGGCCGCAGCACTTTTCGCTCTTTTTTAAAGTAAATTTTAATTTTATTTTTTCACTTAAACATTTATTTTGTCTCCCTCTGTAACAAACATGCGCAGTCTGACAAAAGGCTTTGCCGGCCTAGCCACATCCAGGAGCAGTTCTGAGTCTCTCAGCTCTGTCAGGGATGGGCAGTGAGGCTTCCTCCACATCAGTCCTCCAGGGTGTTAGTTGGATACGGCGTCAGTCAGGGGTCCTGCGTCTTCTGCTGTCTGTCTTCCCAGTGTTATTGCTCTGGTTTTCTCCCCTTCACTCTGCCTCATTTCACACAAGTCTTGGCAGGCTTTTCTGCACCTGGCCCTTCTGTCATTTCTTACTGCACACTCATTTCAGTACATGATGTGCCATCGTTTATTTAGCAGCTCCCCAAAAGGTGGAAACTCCCTTAGTTTCCATTCCTCTGCTGCCACTGCAGAAGAGAGATGTGGGGGGTGGGGAATTGAGGCCAGGGGAACCACTGCACTGCTCACAGACCAGCTCCTGAGATCCTGTCACCCAGGGGTCTGCTTCCCCACCCTCTCTGGGGCAGTCCTGATTCATCAATGTGTTGATAACATATTTATTTAGAAGCAATAATTTGTATACAGTATGAATAAGACACCAGTAGGGTTTATGTTGGATAGGGTAGAGGTGTGTAACTGACCAGACTCCTGGCACTGGAGGGGGCTGAGGTGACAGGAGCCTTTGAGGCCATCTCAGCTGCTCCTGAGTTTTACAGTCAAGGAGTCTTAAACCCAGAGAGAGGATGGGATTTCCCCAAGGTTCCACAGGGGACCGGCAGAGCTGGATTGAGGCCTGTGTTGACTCCAGAGTGAACACTGTACCCTGCACAGCCCTGCCAGGTTTGGCCCTTCCACATTTGCAAGATGGTTTACATAGGTCCTCTCCTTGGAGCCTCATAGCAGCCCACGTCTTGGGGGGGGGGGCGCCCGAGCAGGGAGGGGCTGCTGCAGGTGTTCTCATCCCTCTTGTCTGCCAGGCATCTGTTTGGGGTCCTGCAGCTGGGCTCCTGGGTCTTTTTGCCTCAAAGGTCCAGCACTGGTCACTCTTCTAAGCTGCTTTTCAGGCATATCTGGGTTTTTTTGGAGTGGGGGAGGGATCCATGGTTCTAGTACAGTTTATTCCTCAGCAAGCCATCTTCCCAGTCTGAGTTACCATGAATTTCTGGAGTCTCCTGTTCCTTTCTCACCATGTCTCTTATTTTTTGGTTATGTTTATTCACCTCCTACAAAGAATAGACAAGAATTGAGAGAGAAAGAGACCCTTCCACCTGACTTCGGTGCCTGGTGGTGGCCACCCCAGTTGAGGTTGCTCAGGTCTGGGCGTAGGTTTTAGACCTCCCTCCATCCCTTCACCATGGACATTGAGGAGCTGGCTGTGATTACAGCTCCAGTGTTCTTTTATTTTGTGTAGCTTGAATTGTTGCTGGGCCTGGGCCTCACTGAGGTTGCTCTGGGAGCGGCCCTGGCCATGACGGACTGCTGCCCAGACTCGGCCGCCAGGTGGCAGCTGCAGCTGCAGGTGCTGATCAGGTTGGAGAGCAGCGAGGTTGATGAGCGTTTTGAGGCAGCCATTCAGCACCTGAGGGCCAAGGTCAGTGCATGCTGCCGCCCCCAGGGTCCTGGGTCTGTGCTCTCTGCACACACACGGCTGGCATTGCCTGCGGTGGGCTGGGGTGGGGTTCTTTAAAGCTGTACCTTCCCTAGAAAACTGGCTGTCACCCCAGGGTGCCTCACGGGTGGCAGATCATCAGCTCCCTCTGTGCAGGGACTGTTTCCCTGACACATAGTAGGTGCTTAACAAATGCTTGTTGATTGGCTCGTTACTGGTCCTGGAGTGCCTGCAGTTGGCAGCTCATAGCCAGGAGCTCTGCTCTTCTCAGTTTGTTTTTCATTTGTAGGATTGTTTGCCGTTGTGGAGTTTGTGGGTGGAGTGGAGCGAAGGGGCCCACAGTGAAGCAGACACAGAAGCCCTCTTCCAGGTGGGCCTTGGGGGAGGTCACTGCCGGCTCCCAGCTGGCTCTTCTTTCTGCTGCTTCTGCACTTGTCACAAGCTTAGTGATCATCAGCAGGGATGGAGGGCGGGGCGGGGCAGGAAAGGGGGAAGAGCCTGGGCCTGGGTTAAGATCCCCCACTCTGGGCCTTCACTCCCTGGCTGACCGGCCATTTGCACTCACCTGGGCCTTGCTTAACTCCCCTGAGGTCTCCTTTGGCTTAAGATTCAGGGCCATGGGAATCAAACCGGGTAAAACCTTCACACTTAGTGATGTCAAACCAACCCGGTGAATCTGAAGCAAGGGAGGAGGAGTATGTGTGTGTGTGTGTGTGTGTGTGTGTGTGTGTGTGTGTGTGTGTGTGAGAGATAGAGAGTGTGTGTCCGTGCATGCAGGTATAATTGTAGTCAGGATGGTTCGGGTTCTGTCCACCTGGCTTTGCCTCACGTAGAAGCAGCCTCCCCATTTCCAGGTGTTGGCCACATTTGATTTTTGAGGAATCATGACAGTCCCTTTGTACATGAATATACATTAGTAATGCCTTCAGCTCATTTCCCACCGTTTGATAGATGTACCAGTTGCTTCCATTCTTTGGCCATCTCGAGTGGAGCGGGGCTGCTGCCCCAGGTAGTTCTCTTGGGGTTAGAGTTGTAGCTGGGCTTTCTGAGGCCCCTGGGCCTGCCCTGTCTGCCCTGTCCCTGCTCTCAGTACTCCTGGGCCTTCCCATGGTTCTGCAGCTGAACCTGCCTAGTTAAAGGGCAAGCTCCTTGAAAGTAGGGGACATTTGACTTTTTCTCTGTATCCCCAGTGCTCAGCACAGTGCATAGCACCTTGTAAGTGCTTGACAGACCATTTTTCATTCTTTCGTTCAGTCACTGGCAAACAAGCTCTTTCTGTGGCTGCCTCAGAGAGGAGTTTGATCCCTCCATGGTCTGAAGCCTCCAGCTCTCCAGTGGGTTGGCTTTGGGGTGACATGTCTGTGAATTTTCCTTATGTAGATTGTTTCTGGTTTCTTCCATGTGGCAGAAATCTCTCCTTGCTACTGTCCCTGCTGACTCTGTGATCATGAAAGAGAAATACCTCGACTGGGCTTACCGGACCGGTGGCCACAAGAAGGCAAAAAAAGTCTTTATCAGGTTAGACAAACTGTCGCTGCAGGTGCCTCACATTGTCTGTCCTGTCACTTGCTTGGCCCTTCTCCTCTTGGCCACACTTTGGAATTCTCTGTCACATCTGCTCTTGAAAAAGATGACCTGTGACCTTTTGGGCCTCATTATGCAGTATGTGGTAGAGACAGATTGGGACCGTGGGGTCTGCAGGCTCAGGACTGACAGTTGTGAGTGAGAGACTGGGTTTTCTGTAAAATTCTGCTAAAAAAAAAGCAAAACAACTCTAGCTCCAAAATGAGTAATTTTAAAGTTGGCTCTTGAAAGAGAAATGAGGGATACAAGGAAGAGTGGGGCTAGGGTGGGGAAACAAAGTGAATGATGGCAAAGAGAAGTCATTGCCCATTCAAAACACTGGCAGTGAGTGTTGGTGGTGGTTGGCCCCGAGCCCAGAGCTCATCTAACGAGCCCAACTTGCTGCTACCTGGTGCAAGGACCTTGTTCACTATAGGGTTCTTCCACAGTAATAGGCATGTGGGAAAAATAAACATTTCTTCTCTGTAGTTTACGTGAAAACCGCCCATTTTCAGTTCAGTTCTTCAAGAGGATGATCCAGATTGAAAAGGAGCAGGTATGTGAGTAGGGGCATTGATCACTGCTTCCTGATTATTTTGAGAGGCCTCCAGCTACCTGGGGGTGGGTGGGAGTGGAAGTGGGGGAGGGGGAGGGGGGATTAAGAAAGAGGCTTAGCAAACTTTGGTCCCTGGAGTCCCCTGGCCTGCCCCTCTGCAGTGCGGACCACTTAGCAGGTGTGACCAACAAAAGTGAAGAATCAGAAGCTAAAACACATGGGAGAAAAATACGGGAGTCAAGGCCTGACTTTAGGAGAACTTCTGTGAACTTCACTTGTCCATAAAATAAGTGGGCTCTGTTTACTGTGCAGAAATTTCCCAGCTGAATCTAATCTAAAATGCAATTGGATTTGCATGTAAAAGCACCAAGGTGTTATTAGGGTCACTGTGCTAGGAACGCAGGCTCTCCCTACCTGCACGTGGAAAACAACCCGAGAGCTGAGAGAGGGATGAGGGAAGGACAGGATTCTGTTCTCTTAAGGTATAGGTAATGATATGTATCAGCTTCTTTTGAGAGATAACAGAAGGAAACAAGCTTAAGATGAAGTAATTGGGATTTAGGGTAGCCAAAAGAGCTTCTTTTCTGGGAAAATGTGATGCTGAATGAGGCCCCTGAAGAAGGATTGCCCTGTGTCTTGAGCTCTCCTGTCCACTTCTTTTGTTAGGAAACCTGCAAGATGTTGAACTTAAGAGAATACTATGAGAGAGCCTTGAGAGAGTTTGGTTCTGTGAATTCAGGTGAGGAACCTTTTTTCATTGGAAGTATGTGGGGGGGGTGACTGACTCCCCAGTAAACATATTTTTGGAATCTGGGCCTCTGGGCCTTATCTGTGGAGGGTGGGTTTGTATTTATTTTTTTCTGTGTCCTAGGTCCCTTGGACTATCTATCAGTCTGTTGAAGCCTATGAGCCCCTTCTCAGAGTCACATTTTTTAAAAAATGCCTAAAATACATAGGGCTTTTTAAAGGAAACCAATTATAATAACATGCTGTTATCAGAATACCCATCATTTTTTATGAGTGACCAGAGCTCTTCTGGCCTCCAGAACTCTTGGGCCTGGTGAAGGCCTGTGGCCTGGTTATTATTGGGGCAGCATACCAGGGGGTGGGGTACATGCACTGGTATGACTGATTTTTCTTCTTTTAAGACCTGTGGTTGGATTACATCAAGGAAGAGTTGAACCACCCTTGCGGCAAACCAGAGAACTGTGGGCAGATCCATTGGAGAGCCATGAAGATGCTGCAGGGAGAGCTGGTGGAGGAGTTTGTGGCCAAATACACTTTACTCCAGATTGGCCAGTTATAGGAAGAGCCAGCAGCTGGACTTGTGGACTCATTTATAAACCCCTGTGGTAGATTTACATTCTCGGTAGATCTATCATTTGTACAGAGATGTCTGCCTTTGATTTACAGTAAATATCGAACTCTGCTGTCTGACTTCTAACTGGGAGGCTTGCTCCTTCTGGGATTCCCATTTGGCATCTTTGATCTGGAGGAGAGAGTTAGTGAAAGGCTGTTGTCTGTCCAGAACAGAAACAAACCTTTTCTACCCCACTGCCCTTTTTTGGAACTGACAAAATTGGAACATCATTTTTCTTTCCTTCCGGATTTATATTGCGGGGTCATCAGGAGTTGAGGGAATAAGTTTTATTCTTTTGTCGCCTCAGTCCTGTCCCTTCTGGGTTTTGTTTGTTTATATTTTGAAAGGCAACAAGAACGTTTCTTTTCTCAGAAGCACACAAAGTATATTTGAGCTCATGAAGTTTAGTGGAGGGAGGAGGAAAAGGCACACTCTTGGGTGTCCTATCTTTTGAAAATACTTTGGAAAGCATAAAATATTATAGACCTAGAAGGCAGCACAATTTTAGGGCAGGGGGTCCTTGTGCTTTAGCAAACTTCAGTTCAACAAATATTAACCACCTGTGTTGCATGGCTGCAAGCCAATGCAATACCAGTCTCTGAAGAATCAAGATTAGAAGTTACTTAAAGAACAGCAGAGAAACACTTTGTGGGTATAAATAGAGCACCAAGGACAAATTGTACACATAGAATGTTGCAAAAGAGATTTTGGAGCTGCAGGACTGGAAAAAGTGATGATGTTGAAGTTTGGAGCTGGGCTTAAAGAAGCAAGCCTGAGATTTGGAGCCTAGTAAATGGGAAGACAGCGGTGGGAGGGACATTCATTGTGGAGAAGAGAAGGCTGGGAGGGGTAGTAGGGGGATGGGACATGATAACAGTCTTCAAGTATTTGGGGGGCTATCTGGTAGAAGAAGTATCAGACTTGTTCTGCCTAGCCCCAGAGGTAGAATTAAGTAATGTTTGGAAATCGAGAATGCAGATTTTGACTCTTGAGAATTTTCTTAAAGATTCTGAAGCTATGTAATCCTGGAATGGCCAAGAGGTAGTGTACTCCCTATTATCACAGATTTTCAATCCCAGCTAGGTAACTAATTGTTAGAAATGTTGGAGAGGCGATTCTTGCTTCAGGGTTTTTCTAGATTACATTTGAAGGTCCTTCCAGCTCAGATTCTGAAATGGGGAAATTGTGAGGAAGGGGACATTTTTGGAATGTTAAAGGTCGGGGGGGCGGGCAGCTAGGTGGGACAATGGATAGATCATTGGCCCTGGAGTCAGGAGGACCTGAGTTCAAATGTGGCCTCAGACGCTTTTTTTTTTAAAGGCAGTTGGGGTTAAATGACTTGCCCAGGGTCACACAGGTAGTAAGTGTCAAGTGTTTGGTCTGAGGCCAGATTTGAACTCGGGTACTCCTGACTTCAGGGCTGGTGCTCTATCCACTGCGCCACCTACCTGCCCCCCCTCGGACACTTTTCACTTACTAGCAGTGTGTCCCTGGGCAAGTCACTTAACCCCAATTGCCTCACCAAAAAAAAAGTCTGTGGGACATCCAGGTAGGCGTTTGTAAATACAAAATTCAAACTCCAGGGAGAGATTTGGCTGAAGTAAACAGATTGGGGAATTGTGGACACAGAGGTGATAACTGATACTGTGGGAGTGGATGACAGTGTGGAGAGGTGGGATTAGAGTCAGTTAACTGGAAGCCATAAGGCTTATGTCTGGTGCAAAGGACTTTTCTACTTGCTCTGGAGAAAACATTAACTGTGTAGCTTTGAGAGCTTATCATCCCTTGGCCCCCTTGGACGTTCCTCCTCCACTCATCCAGACCCTGATCTGAGCCTCTCTGACCCTCCTTGTGACCCTGGATCTGCTACTTGAAGGCCTTGGCATTGGCTTTTCTCTCTGAGGTTGCTGCCTCTTGGCATCTGCCCCGAGAGGCCCTCTCGACTTCCAGGCCAATCATTCTCCCTCTCAAATTTACCTAATACTTTTTATTCCCTATTTTGTATGTACTTGTCTTTGGATTTGACGTGGCCCCCGTTGGAATGGAAGCTCAGTAAGAGTCTGGGTTGCTTCCAGCACCTAGCATAGCGCTTAGTATATAGCAGGGACTTCAATGCTGGTCGGTTGATATGTGGGTCATTTAGCTCCGATGCTTCAGCAGGACAGGCCAGGGCACAGAAGGGGACTGGACTGGAGGATTTTCAAGGCGCTTTTCGTTCTGGGTTTAAGATTAATGAGGCTTTCGCAAATTCTCTCACTTCTGCCCAAGTCCTTACTTTGGCAGAGAATGAGGGGCAGGAAAAGCATGTGTTTGGAGTGTGAGGACAAAGCTTGGTTTGGCTTTGCCCATGCCCCTCACCAATGTCAATCATTAATAAATGGTAGGTAACAAATTCGGAATCCGAATTTGTTAAGCAGAAACTGCCAGGTGCTGCCCTAGGTGCTGGGTATACGCCACCAAAAGGTGAGCTCCCTGATCTGCTGGGGGGCGTACAGCTTAGGACCCGAGTGTATCAGTGCCAGGTAATGGGAGGGGAGAAGGGGAGCTCCCCTAGATGACCGTGGGGCGGGGCTTTGAAGGAAACTGGGGGGCCTGAGGGCAGGGGTCAGGAGGGTGTGCCTTCCAGCCCGGTGAGGGGACAGAGGGTCGAGCGCCCGGTGTCGGCCCGTTTGGCCGGACGGGGCGATGCACGAGTCCGCAGGGGTGGGCTTTGTGCTCCGGGCTGGCGGCGGCCGGCGGGCGGAGCCGTGTTCCGCTCTCTCTGCGAGGCTTTGAAGCTCCTGGGCCGGGCGGCGCCTGAGGTCCCTAGCAGCCCGGGCCGGGTCTGTCCTTTCTGCCGACAGAGCAGCGGGCAAAGCGGGCCCGCTGCGGGTCTCCAGGCCAAGGCCAATCACCTGATAAGGCTAAGCCCTTCCTCGGCTCTCCGGGGGGTCGCCCGGCCCGGACATCCTCGGGGATTCCCACAAATCGCCCGGCGCGTCGGATAAGCCCCGCCCCCGGAATGGCCACGTGACCCAGACCCCGCCCCCGCCGCTGATTGGGCCTTCCGTGTTGCCTTTAGGCCGGCAGCATGGGGAGGTCGTCACGTGGGGGCGGCGGGGCGGCCGCGGCGCCTCGGGGACTGGCGGGCATGGAGCCGCGGGCTGCGGGGGCTGGGGGCAGCGAGGGGCCGGCAGCCCCGGAGGGAGAGCCGCCACCGCGGGGCGCGCGGGCTGGGGAAGAGGAGGACGCGCCGCCGCCCGAGCCCGAGCCGCGGCCGGAGCCGCCAAGCCCAGCGGCGGTAAGGCCCAGAGCCCCCCTGCCCCTCGCGCACCCTCCCGAGACCTAGACGAGACGAGAGTGAGGCCGCGGCTCGGGGCCGCCACACCCCCTCCGCGCGGACCTTCCGGGGGCGGCACCTCGTGGCCGGAGCCGGGGAGGGAGGTGTGGCCCCTCGGGCTGCAGCCAGAGGCTCACGGGTGGGAGGGCGTGAGGCCGAGGGCCGCGGACGAGCGCTCCCCCCGCGGGCCCCACCCTGTGCCACCTCCCCTCTGCTGATCTTTTCCGCCCCCTCCCGTGGGCCCCTCTGCGAGTTGTCCCTCGTTAGCCCCCCCAACTTTACTCCTGCTGCCCATGCCCCTCCCTTCTCCCCCCATTTACTCTCTAATGTCTCTTTATCCTCTCCCCTCCCCCCCGCGGGACCCTTTGCTTCTACCACCGCCCCCCATCCCCTACTTGCCTGTGGCCCTGGGGGACCCTCTGCCCCACTGCAGAGGTGCGGAGAGGGCGCTAAGGAGGCTGGTCTTGCCTTCAGGAGGCATTTACTATCGGAAAATTAGCCAACCGTCGGTTACCCAGCGTTAATTAAGCGCCCACTCCTGCTGGGCCCGGTGCTAAGCTGGAGGGGGCAAGGTATCTTGGGGTTCCCGAGGCTGGTAATGCGTGGGGGGTGCCTGGCCAGGAGGCAGAAGCAGCCTGGCCCTGGGGGTTCTCCCTGTTCTTCTCTGCTCCTGGGATTCCTCCCAGGAGTGGGGACTGATCTTTTAGGGCAGGTGATCTACAGGTCTGTAGGTAGATCTGAGGGGTCTTGCGTGGGGAAACCTTCACCTCGGTATAGTAGGTTTGCTGTGTAATCCTACGTATTTTATGTAAGAGCAAGATTGTGAGAAGACGTTCATAGACTTCACCAGGCCCCTGCCTAAGGCATTTGGGACACAAAAAAGAGTTAAGAACTCCTGTTTTGGGGAATCTGCCCTTATCAAAGCAAGCAGCCCACCACTGGATGCCAACAGTTCATTTTCACTCTTTCAAAGTCTTTGAAAGCGTCTACTGGTTTTAGGAAATTATTCAATCCTAGGTCATATCCTGACTTCAGGGGGACCCTGCATGTACTGCCTGAGACACGCTAGTCTGGTTACCTGCAGAATGTTCAGATAGCAAACCTTGGCTTTCTGTACACAAGGCTTAACATTGTGCCTGGCTTAGTAGGTCTTTGGAAAGGCTCCTTAAACAGACTAAGGTCCTCCAGACCTTGTTTATTCTGTTCTGCCCTAGTGAGAAAAACAGCAGTGAATGGGCGGAAACTATGCTTCGCCCCAACAAAACAAAAACTACCCAGATAATAAAGCAAGATGGTGGTCAGCATGCAGTTTTTGTGTACTTTTGTGCCAGGGTGAGGAGAGCAAAGGTTCTTTACCTGTCTTGTGCTTTGCAAAACTTGGGCCACAGTCTGATGAAACTGAGGGGCTTCTCAGAATCGTGTTAAATTTGTAAAGTAAAATACACAGAATTGAAGCCAGTTATTGAAATTCAGGGATCAAACTGGTTTAAAAACCAGTGCATAGCCCTCAGGTTGAGAACCACTGTTGTAGAGGAAGGATAACTGGGGGGTGGGAGGGAGTAGACTGTTCTAGAACAGATTTTTCATCATTCCTTGACCAGACAGGGTAGGGAGAAGCATGTGCAGAGGCTTGTAGCATTGAGAGATGGGTGGGATCTCAGGTGGCATCTAGTCTGACCACTCCTTTTACAGATGAAGCCCAGAGAGGGGAAGGGATGGCCAGGGTCTTCTGGGCATCGATCACTTCTCAGTTTGAGACAGTATCTTGAAGAGCAGTGAGACTTTGAGGGGCTGTTGGATGGAAAGAGAGAACATTTAGGTGGGCTTGCTGGGCAGTGGAGTGGGAAGAAAGCATGCCGGTTGCCCAAATGTTACTGTTGAGTGATGATTATTTTCATTCATCCAGGAAACAATGACAAGGTGCCAAAGTTCCCAATTATTTTTCTTTTGTTCAGATCAGCTTGGCCATGTCTGACCACTTCTATCAAAAGAAGGAAGGAGAGGAGGACGGGATCATGAGATGGAGACCAAAACTGGGCAAGTAACCATTCCTGGGCTGATGATGAGGGTCAGGAGGTCTGAGTGAGTGATGAAGAGAGTCCCCGTGCTGGGCTGGGCTGTGCTGTGCTTGTTCAGCTTGGCCCTAGAGGCCAGAACCAGGGGGCAGTGAATGGAAGCTACAAAGAGGCAGACAGAGGTTTGATACCAGGAAACCCTGGCTAATCGTGGGCTTCCCAGAAGGGCAGCTTCCGAGCACCAGCTGGACGAGCCCACATCTGGTGTGCTGTGGGGGGAGCTTCCTTTCGGGTAGGAATTGGACTGCTTAGCAGCTGCTAAAGTGCCACAGTGAGGTCCCTTCCAATTCTGAAATTCCAGGTGCCACCCCCTGCCTTGGGGTCTAGCTGAGATCCTCAACCTGTGCTGCCCGGGGTGGGGCCTTGGCATCTCCTACTTGTCTTCTCTTTTTCCCACATCCTCTTTGCTGAGCTGTACACTTTCTCTTTTGTGTTTTAGTTGTCTCCTTTCAGAGTTGTCTGCCAAAGCAACATCAGATACCTAGACCTCTATTGTCCTGCCCCAGATTGTTTCTTCCATCATTTAGATGGCTCCTAAAATCCTACTTTCTCCACAAAGCCTTTTTTGATATGAGTAATAATGATGGTTTCTCCTGTCTGCCCATCCCATGCGTCTTGTGACCTGGGTCCTACAAGGGTTCCTCTTTCCTTGCTGTGTCCTGATGTGCTCTCTCCCCCCATGCTGGTTGGGGGGGAAGGGGTAGCAAAGTAATGAGGTGAGACCACTCAGACTGGCATGTCCTTTCTTCGAGATACGGTGCTGCCTTTCATATATATGTGTCTGTGTATGCATGTGTGTATATTTAGAATATTAAGATTTAGCCCTAAGGAGCATAGAAATTATCTCATCCCATGGTATCCCATTTATTTAAGTGTGACATCAAAAAAATGTAGTGGAAGCCTAGATGATAGTGGATGTGCTCCTTGGATCCTTTGGGAAAACTGGAAGACAAAAAGTCTGCTATTAATTCAGCAATCTTTTAAACAAGTTGGTGCTAAAACAGCATCTGTGTGGATATGAAAAATTAGTAATATTTAAGGGTCTGAGACACTGTTTAGTCTACAGAAGGATATTTACCTGTTTAATAGTGAGTCATGCTAGGGATTTGGATTTTGCTTTGAGGGGCATTCACAAGTCACCTTGCCCCCCCCCCCCCACCCCACCCAGGGCTGTAACATGGATGGGGAACTGCTGATTTTTCCAGCACCCTTTTTTATAGGTGGGAAACTGTGTTGGTAGGTGACTTACATACAGAGATATGTACATTTACATTCACTTTTTTTTGGGGGGGGGAATCAGACTGTTTTCCAAAGCCAATTATAAATAAATTTTGCATTATCCAAATTATTGCTTTCCACTCTCAGTGCTCCTAATTGGGAATTTTCTGACCTTTCTGTTGGGGTTTTGCTTTTGTTTGAAGAACTCAAAACAACCTGATGGCCACTCTTGTGTTTGCCAAACATTTATGGAACTTTTCCTCCTCTCTTTGCTGGCTGTGCAGCCTGTGGGGCCCAGAATGTGCCCACCGGAGGGGAGGGTGACCATCCTGAAGAGGATGAGATGCAGGATTGTGAGGACTCTGAGGAAGACTTGAATTGGGAGCTGGAGGATGGGATGGAGAGCAGCGTCCCTACAGAGCAGAAGGCTGAGCCTCCTGTTAAGGAAGACTGGGACAATGAGCTCATTGCTGACCAAGGGAATCCGTACGGTAGGTGTGGTGCTCCCTAGGGCCCTGGAGGAACTGAAACCTAGTGTCCAATGTGTGGGTGCAGGCCTGTGACCCTCCCCCAGCTGCCCATAATCACAGGGGCTTTTCTCCTTTATCTTTCGAAACTTCTTTTAGGTGCTGAAGACATCCACCATGCCAGCATTCAAGAATTCTGTCTCTGGGCACCTCGGGCCCAGCAAGGAGACATGATCTATGACCCGAGCTGGCACCACCCTGCCCCCCTGACTCCCCACTATTCCAAAATGGTCTTTGAGACGGGGCAGTTTGATGATGCTGAAGACTGAAACTTTGGGATGCTTTCCTGCCTTGTGGGCTGGGCTGGGGGGGTCTTCCCTTGGCCTTCTTCCCATCCATTGCATTCCCTCATTCCCACTTGTGAGGTGGGACCTCACATTGGGAATGATTGTGGGACGGATCCTGGGAGCTGCTGCATTTTCATGGACTGTTGTGTTTAAGAAGGGAAAGAAACTCTTTGTCTCCTGTTTTTGTTTGGGTTTTGTGGGCACAATCTTGTCTGAAACAAAGGTGGGCACTGTGGCATTAGAGGAGAGGGAGGATCCTGGTGGGAGATTTTTTTTTTCTTAAATAAAAGTTGAAAAATCAGAATGCTGCTTTTGTCATTCCCCACCCCCTTTAATTGGCTGCTTATGAGCCAGCTTGGGTTTGTGGCTTCCTGGTGCCTGCCTCTTTTCACACTTTTTAAAAGAAATCACCCAGTAAAAGTTTGGAGATTAGTTAGCACTGTGTTTGTGTCACTGTCTTGTTTCTGTTTATCAAGAAAAGCTTGGGGAGAAGGGGGTGGGCGTAGTCTCTGTGAAGCCCGTGACCTGATTGCAGGTTTCTGCTGCTGAGGTTAATTAGTTAATAGGCTTTTATTGAGAGTGGTATTGATGAGGGTCAGGTTGTGATGCGATGGGGTGTGTCAAAGACTTTCAAAGACTGGGGTCGACTCCAAGCAGTTAGAGAGATTTATTGTGGTTAAGTACAACACCACACCCGTTCAAATATGTGAATTGGATCTGGGGGCAGTGGACATGCTGTTCAGTGTGGCCCATCGGGAAGTTAGAATATTAGGGCTGGGGGCAGCTTTATTAGGATTCCATCAGTATGCGAAGGCCTCCTCTCTACCTCTTAGACTCTTTAGTTTCTTCTCAAACTTGGCTTCTGTGCCACCTTCTGTGTGAAGCCCTTCTGAAGTCCCCTCCCCTCAACACCTTTTTATTGTCTTTTATGTATCTTTTAATATTGATACATGTTAGAATGTGGGCACCTAGCTGGTGAAGTGGGTAGGGCACTGGGCCTGGAGTCAGGAAGACTCATCTTCCTGAATTCAAATCTGGCTCAGACACCTACTAGATCCTGGTCGGAGTCCTGAGTCACAGACCCAGGGTGAGGAGGAGCATTAACGCACCAGAGCTTGCAGAGCCAGTACCCTAGTCACAGTTCCAGGGTAGAAAAGAGTGCCCATGCTTGACGACAGGTCAGGAGAGTGGTAAACCCGCCTCTGCTTTGATTGTACCAACTTGGAAGAACGGAAAACTTACCAACCCCCTGAACTGAAAAGAAGAACTCCTTATAAGACAGAATTGGCCAAATGGAAAAGAAGGTATAAAAACTCACTAGAAAAAATAATTTCTTAAAAATTAGAATTGGGCAAGTGGAAGCTAATGACTTTATAAGACATCTAGAAACAGAACAAAATCAAAAGAATGAAAAAATAGAAGAAAATGTGAAATATCTCATTGGAAAAAAAAATTGACTTGGAAAATAGATCTTGGAGAGGTAATTTAAGAATTATTGGACTACCTGAAAAACTGATCAAAACATGCATTTAAAAAAAAACAAACTAGATATCATCTTTCAAATAATCATTGAGAAAAACTTCGCTGATATACTAGAACCAGAGGGTAAAGTAGAAATGGAAAGAATCCACTGATCACCTCCTGAAACCACCCCCAAATGAAGACTCCCAGGAATATTACCGCCAATTTCAGAGCTGCCGTGTTGAGAAGAAAATACTTCGGCCAGAAAGAAACAACTCAAAAGTTGTGGCATCATAGGACAACACAACATTTAGCAGCTTTTATATTAAAGGATTGGAGGATTTGGAATATAATATTCTGGAGGGCAAAAGAACTAGGATTACAACCGAGAATCATGTACCCAGCAAAACCGAGTACAACTCTTAAGAGGGAAAAATGGATATTAAATGAAATAAAGGACTTTAAAACATTCCTGATGAAAAGGCCAGAGCTGAAAAGAAAATTTGACTTTCAAATGCAAGACTCAAGAAAAGTATTAAAAAAGTAAACAGGAAAGAGAAATCATAAGGGATTCAATAACGTTAAACTGTTGACATTCCTAAATGGAAAATATTTGCAACTCTCAAAAACTTTATCATTATTAAGGCAGTTAAAAGAAATATATGTAGACAAGTGGGCACAGGTGTGGGTTGACTATGATGGGATGATATCTAAAAAAAAGTGAGAAAAGGAATGCATTGGGAGAAGGGGAAAAGGAGAAGTGAATTGGGTAAATTATCTCACATAAGAGGCATGAAAAAGCTTTTACAGTGGAAAGGAAGATAGGGGAGGTGGGGGGGGATGTTTGAACATTACTCTCATCAGAATTGGCTCAAAGAGGGAATAACATACACATTCAGTTGGGTATAGAAAACCATCTTACTGTATAAGAAAGGAGGGGAAGGGGATAAGACAAGGAGGGGGGCTGATAGAAGGGAGGGCAGATTGGGGTGAAGCAGTAGTCAGAAACAAAACATTTTTGAAGATAGGATGAAAGGAGAGAGGCAATGGGACTAGTGGGAAAAAATATATTGACAAGAAGTTTCTCTGATAGAGTCCTTATTTATAGTTTCTCTGATAAAGGTCTCAAATATATGGAGAACCAAGTCAAATTTATAAGAATACAAGTCATTCCCCAATTGATAAGTGGTCAAAGGATATGAATAAGTAATTTTCAGATGAAGTAATCAGCTATTTATAGTCATGAAAAATGCTTTGAATTACTATTGACTGGAGAAGTGCAAATTAAAACAATTCTGAGGTACCATCTCATACCTATCAGATTGGCTAATATGACAGAAAAGGAAAATGACGTGCTGAAGTTGATGTGGGGAAACCTAGACACATGCATTATTGGTGGAGTTGTGAACTGATTCAACCATTCTAGAGAGCAATTTGGAACTATTCCCAAAGGGCTAATAAAACCATGTATACTTTTGACCCAGTAATACCTTTACTAGGTCTGTATCCCAAAGAGAAAAAAACAAAAAGAAAAGGACCTATATGTACAAAAATATTCATAGCAGCTCTTTTTGTGGTGGCAAAGAACTGGAAATTGAGGGGATGCCCATCAATTGGGGAATGGCTGAACAAGTTGTGGTATAAGATTGTGATGGAATATTATTGTGCTGTAAGAAATGACCAGCAGGGTGCCCTCAGAAAAACCTGGAAAGATTTACATTGACTGATGCAAAGTGAAATGAGCAGAAGCAGGAGAACATTGTACACAGTAGCAGCAATGATGGATTGTGAATGACTTAACCCTTCTCAGGAATGCCATGATCCAAGACGATTCCGAGGGACTTAACTGATGAAAAATGTTATCTACTTCCAGAGAAAGAACTGATGGAGGCTGAATGCAGATCAAAGCATACTTTTTAAAAACTTTCTTTTTCTTTTTTTTTTTAATTTGGTTTGCGTTTTCTTTTATAACGTGACTAATATGAAAATATGTTTTGAATAACTACACACGTGTAGCCTGTATCAAATAGCTTTGATCAAATTTGACTGATTCAGTCAAAGCCCTCAAGCCAAACTTGAGGGCCTAGAGGCCTTAAGGCTTGCAGGTTCCCCACCCTTTAACCCTTACAAGTTGATTAATTTATTCAAGAATGCCTTGTGATTACATTGGAGGCTTTGTGACTTCATTTGAGGAACTCCCTCTCCTATAGGAAACTGACTTAGGAAATGGAATGCATTAGTTTCAAAGCTATCCTGCTGGTTAGTGTATCCCTTTGAACTTTCTTTTCTTCTCTGTGCCATTTTAAAAGAATACTTCAATGACTGTCTTTTTTTTTTTTTTTTTTTTTTTGGGCATCACAATCACTAACTCTCTTTCAAATCACTTCCCCCAAATTTAAAACAAAAACAGTCCACTCCCCCCAAATCTTAAGCTCTCTTAACAAATATTAATAGTTAAGCAAAACAAATCCAAACATTGGCCATAACTGAGAGCTTATGTCTGATTCTGCAACTCCAGTGCATCACCTCTCTGCCGGGAGGTGGCTAAGGTGTTTATGCTCACCTTCACGCTGGTGTGTCTCAGGCAATCTCTCTAGGCTTCACTCTCTTCACTGTCTAATGGTGGGTTGGACCAGGTGACCTCTAAGGTCTCTTTCAACTCTTTATCCTGTAATCCTTTCCCTGCCCCTCCCCAACTTGAGCCCCAAGGGCCAAGTGCCTTTCTAGGTGTTAGGGAGAAAAGTCCAGAGGGAAATGATCCCTGTTTGCAATAAGCTTGCATTCTAATGGGGACACAAGTTCATATGAAAACGTGTTGTTGAGTTGTTTGGGTTGACTCAGACCCCATTTGGGATTTTCTTGGCAAAGATATTGGAGTGGTTTGTCATTTCCTTCACCAGCTCATTTTACAGATGAGAAAACTGAGGTAAACCAGGTTAAGTGACTTGCCCAGCGTTGAACAGTTTTTGACTATTTGAGGTCACATTTGAACTTAGGAAGATTTGAGTCTTTCTGACTCCAGGCCCAGCACTCTGTGCACTATGGCGCCACCTAGCTGAAAACCACGTACAGCATAAATGTAAAATTAACGAATAGATAGAGACGGACAGACACACACATAGACATGTGGTATAGTTAGGTCCAAGGTTCTATGGGAGGGCACTGGCTGGGAGGGGAAAGGATTTCATTCAGAATACGATGCCTGCCTTGTGTCTGAAGGGAAGGGAGCCCTTATCAAGAGGAGGTGAAGAGATAATGCAGTCCTGGCAGGGGAAATAGAATGAAAGCACAGAGGTAGAAGATGGGAGTGTGGTCATTGGGGTTAGGAACAGAGAGAAAGGGCAGTTTGTCTGAATGGCTGGTGAGTAGTATCCAACAAGATGGAGTAGGTTGGGGGCAGGTTGTATAGGGCTTTTTAAAAGCTAAACACAGGAATTTATATTTCGTTCTGGTCCAGGCCTTTGATTTTGCAAATAGGGAAACTGAGTCAAAGAACTTGACCAAGGTCATGCATGTAGTAAGAGTCAGAAAGACCTCCAAGGTTATCCCATTCAATTCCCTCATTTTATAGGGGAAGAAAATGAGTCTTGTAGAGGGATTAGATTATGCTCAGGGTCCTCTCTTTGATCTGCAGACAGATCCTCTGATTCCAGATTCAATATATTTTCCACTCTACAAGACTAGAAAAGAAAAAACCTTTTTTTTTTTTGGTTAGGTAGTAGAGTTCAGTGACTTGCCTGGGGTCACATGGCTAGTAAGTGTTATGTGTGTGAGGTCGGATTTGAACTCAGGTCCTCCGGAATCTAGGGCCGGTGCTCTATCCACTGCACCACCTAGCTGCCCCCAAAAGAAAAAGACTTTTAATCCCACCCAGGCCTGAGTACGAGTTTCTTTTCTTTTTTTGGCTAGGCAATGGGGTTAAGTGACTTGCCCAGGGTCACACAGCTAGTGA